GCTTCTTCTTCTAACAGAACAAAGAGGGGAAGAGGAGCCATAAAATGCAAACACTTTGACACTTTGCTCCCAATCAAACTCCTGGGACAGGGATGCTTTTCGCGGGCTGGCAAACCTAAACTAACATTGGCTTACACAAAAGCATGTGATTTCCTGTAACTACAAAACAGACATTTAACCCCATACACACTGAGTGTTTTCAACATGCAATACCCAACACCCCACCCCCAAGCACCAAGGATACAGAGCATCAGGTGCCCCAGACTGAGAGTTCATATAAGAACATAACAGAAGCCAATGTTGGACCAGGCCAAAGGCCCATCCAGTCCAACACTCTCTGTGTCACACAGTGGCCAAAAATACCAGGTGCCCTCAGGAGGTCCACCAGTGGGGCCAGGACATTAGAAGCCCCCTCCCACTCTTGCCCCCCCCAGCACCCAAAAGACAGAGCATCCCTTGCCCCAGACCTAGTTTTCATATAAGAACATAAGAGAGGCCAGTGTTGGATCAGGCCAATGGCCCATCCAGTCCAACACTCTGTGTCACACAGTGGCCAAAAATACAAGGGGGCCTCAGGAGGTCCAGCAGTGGGGCCAGGACACTAGGAGCCCTCCCACTTTTGGCCCCCCCAGCACCCAAAAGACAGAGCATCCCTTGCCCCAGACTGAGAGTTCATATAAGAACATAACAGAAGCCAATGGAAGGCCAACAACAGGGCAGAGAGGCTGAGGCCTTCCCCTGTTAAGGATATAAGAAGAGCCCTGCTGGATCAGATCAGTGAGAGTCCATCTAGTCCAGCATCCTGTCCCACACAGTGGCCAATCAGTTCCGCTGGAGGGCCGACAACAGGGCAGAGAGGACAAGGCCTTCACAAGAACATCAGAAGAGTCCTGCTGGATCAGACCAGTGAGAGTCCACCTAGTCCAGTCTCCTGTCTCACACGGAGGCCAACCAGTTCCTCTGAAAAGCCAGCAACAGGGCATAGAGGCCGAGGCCTTCCCCTGATGAGAACCTCAGGAGAGCCCTGCTGGGTCAGACCAGGGAGGGTCCATCTAGTCCAGCATCCTGCCTCACACAGGGGCCAGCCAGTTCCTCTGGAGGGCCAACAGCTGGGCATAGAGGCCGAGGCCTTCCCCTGAGGAGAACCTAAGAAGAGCCCTGCTGGGTCAGACCAGGGAGGGTGCATCTTGTCTCACACAGTGGCCAACCAGACCCTCTGGGGGACCGACAACAGGGCAGAGAGGCTGACTGGAGGTGAGAAGCGCTTGGCTTTTCCCTTCTCCTCATGACCCTAAACCAAGTCTCTCCTGGGTCACAAGAATGTCACTCAGAGGGTGAGAATGGAAGGCTCCGGGATGGGAAGGGGGCCGGAGGGCGTGGCATCCTCCGGGTCGGGGGCTGCTCCAGGCCTGCACCCTTGAGCTGGCCGGTTTGGGAAGCTGGAGGTGGGAGAGTCGGAGGAGAAGGTGTCCAGGGAGCGGCCTCTGGGGGCTGGGGGGAGGGCAGCGGGAGCGTCCCTGGAGGAAATAGATCTCTCAGGAGCCAAGGTAGGTTCCCAGGCCTCCTTGGGGGTGATGTGGGTGAGGGGGGAGGCATCTTTCCTGCCAGGGCGGTGCCCACAATGAACCCCCCCAGGCGGGGGGGGCTGCTCCCACAGGTCCCCAGTCACAGAAGCTCTCCTGGGGGGCTCCCTGTGTAGCCCACCCCCCCTTCCGAAGGTGCAACATAGGCGGAGGGGACTGGTGATTGGCAGCAACCCTCTCCTGTGGTGCGATGAACAGCAGGCTGCATCACCCCCTCCCAGCTCTGGATCATTAAGTATACTCGCTTGCACTGTTCCCTCTAAGCAGAGTTGGTGTGAGCTAGCTCACAGTTCTTTTAGCCTACGGCGCACACATTTTTGTCTCAGCTCAGGAAGGAGGGCTCCAGAGCAAACTAATCTATGCGGAAGCCAAATTGCTCGTTCACAACTTTAATGCCAGCAGCTCACAGAGTAGGATCTTTGCTCACAAGACTTCACAGCTTAGAGGGAGCATTGCTCGCTTGTATTCTACATTCGTCCTCCCCCCCATAATCAAAGTGAACAGGACTGGAAAGTAGGCTTGTGGGATCAGACCAATTGTTCTCCTAGTCCACCTTCCCCTGCTGCTGAGCAACCAACCAGATGTCCCCGAGAAGCCCATTTGCTGGGCACGAAGGCCTTCCCCTGCTCCAGCTGGGCATTCGGCGGTGCACTGCTCCTGAGGATGGAGGTTCCATTTAGCAACCACAATTGACTGCCCTCGATGGAACGCTCCTCCCCCACTGTTTCCTCTCCTCCTCTTCTGAAACCCTCTAAGCGTGGGATCAGGCGCTGCGGTGGCTCAAGTGGTAAAGACGCTGAACTGCAGGCTGTGGAAGGTCGGTAGTTCAGCGGTTCGAGACCCGAGTGTGCCGCATGACGGAGTGAGCTCCCGTCTCTAGTTCCAGCTCCTGCCAACCTATCCGTTCGAACGCAAGAAATTGCAAGTAGATAAATAGGAACCACTCCGGTGGGAAGGTAACAGCGTTCTGTGCGCCTTGGTGTTTAGTGATGCTGGCCACATGACCATGGAAACATCTTCGGACAGCACTGGCTCTTCGGCTTTGAAACGGAGATGAGCACCGCAACCCTAGAGTCGGATTCGACTGGCTTTCGAGCAAGGGAACCTTTACCTTTACCTTTTAAGCATGGGATCACCTATTGATGGATAAAATATCAGACAAACTGTCAAGCTCTGATCCTTTTTATGACCCTCAATCATTCTTCTTTCGATGGTCACCGATTTTAGAAGATGCAGAATATGTTTTGGAAAATGTTCAACATTTCTGTAACCCACAATATTTTGACTTTGTCAAGCGTGGCTGGATACTCTAGATTTAAGAAATGTTCACATTTATTAGACTTGCCTTTAGCAAAATTGTACAATGTTAAATATATGTTTGTTTAAAGTTGTATTTGTTCCAATTCAATATTTGAATGTCATTCTACTATTGTACGATGTTCATATTTGTTGAAAAGTTAAATAAAATGTTTATTAAGCATGGGTCTGTCACGTCTTGTGGCAGGGAAGCCCCCAGGCTAATTGTGTTGGGGGGGGAGGGCTGTCTCCAGGTCCTGACCAAGGATTTTGCTGTATCACAAGAATGTGTCTTTGTACCAAGTTATCCTCTCTGATGTGGGGGGCTCTTCCTCAATATACACAGGCCTGATCGACAGCAAAACTTTATAATTATTATTTGGAGCGGCACTATTCCATTGATTCATATACTATCTGCATTGCCTGAAACACATCTTTTATAATTTCAGTGCGTGTCTAGTGGTTGTTGTATGTGGAACTTATATTTGTTGCTGTACATGATGTCTTAATGCAGGGGTGTCAAACATACGGCCCGCGGGCTGGATCCAGCCCCTGCAGGGCTCCTATCCGGCCCGCGAGCAACTGGCTCCCTCCTGCTTCCTGTTCCTGCTTCACAACTTGCTTTTGCTCAGCTCTCTCCTCTCCAGCTTCCTGCTTCCAGAGGAGAGAAAGAAAGCCAAGCATCCCTTCCCTCAATTGAATTAGGGCTCCTCCCTCTCCTTTGGGTGAAAGGGAGAGAGAGAGAGAGTTCCGTGACACCCTTAAGACCAACAACGTTTTATTCCAGGTATAAGCTTTCGTGTGTGTGCACACTTCATCAGAGAGAGAGAGAAAGACCCATGGCACTTGGAAAGACCCCCCCCCCTTTCCAGTTCAAACAGATGGGAGGGAAAGAAACCTAACAGCACAGCCTGCGTTCTTTATTAGCGGAAGGGAGGAAGAGTCCAGGTCCAGGAGCACCTTCAAGACTAAAAATTTGTGGCAGCTTTCATGAGTCACTACTCCCTTCTTCAGTTACAGCAAGAATGTGAGTCCATCTGTCCTTATATCTTGGAGAGTGAAGTGATTTAAGATGTCAAAAGACAATAGCAGGCATTGGTAATAAGGGAAGAAACCTAGGTCTCAATTCAGTCCAGGAGGATGCATTGTTGTCAGCTATGCTGCCATGAAAGTTGGGGAAGTTGGTCTGTGTCTGGTTAATTGCTATTGCTTTCCTTTCAGGTTAATTGCTATTGCATTCCTTTCTGTGCTTTTTCTGCTGTGCGCCAAAACACTTATCTATACAGATGTGGAGGAAGGTGTTGTAGTGTCTGGGATTTCATTAGGTGCCGTGGGAGAGTGTTCGTTCTCAGCTTCAGCTACCTAACTGTCTCTAAGCCTTAGCCCGCGCGCAGGAGGCCGCCTAATTGGCCAGTACTGTGTGTATGTGTGTGTGCATACGGATACCCTATATCCTATTATGCCCATGGGGCCGCCGCCATTCTTAACAGTGCCTATGTTACTGCATCTTTAGCTCTGCAATAAAAGTATAACCGTTCCTGAATGCGTGTACTGCGTTGTTGGCTGTGGGTCCTGACAATTGTCTTGAGCTTCATTGTCAGTTGCAATTCAGCAGTCTCTCTAATCTCCCTTTGAAATTCCTTTGTAAGAGGACTGCTACTCTTAGGTCAGCAACTGAATGTTCTGGAAGGTTAAAATGTCCCCCCAATGGTTTTTGAATGTTGTGGTTTCTAATAGCAGTAGAAAGATCAAGAGTCCAGTAGCACCTTAAAGACTAGCAACATTTGTGGTAGGGCATGAGCTTTCATTAATCATTGCTCACTTCTTCAGACTTATCTCCATTTATTCTTTGCATCCTCCTGGACTGAATCCTCCTGTACCAAATCAAGACCTAGGTCTCCTGTCTCATTACCCATGCTGATATCTCCATGCCTACCGCCCCTCTGCGTATCACATCTAATTCAATCAAGCCTGCTATTGCCATTCGGCATCTGAAATCATCTTTATAAAGTTTATCTCTCTGGTACCTCGTGTTACATTTTACGGCACTTGAATGGCTTCTCCAGGCAGGCAACTGTGTTGGTCTGAAGAAGTAGAACAAAGTCCGAGTCATGGGGCACCTTTAAGACCCACAAAGTTTTATTCAAGGCGTGAGCTTCCGTGTGCAGGCGCAGTTCCTCAGATAACATTGGAATGGGAGTTAACAGTTCATACGCAGAGACAGACACTTCTACATAAGTGAACAGCAAATTAGCACACAGTTTTAGGAAGACGTTTTGACGTAGGCAAATGCCAAGCAGTCACAGCAAGCGAAGTTCATACAATCACCAGGTCTCCATTTGTTTTGATTTGTTTCCCCACTCCCAATTTTAAAAAAGGCAAGTGCAGAGAGACAGACGGCACCTCACTGCCAGTCCCCACCTGCACGCCTGGACTCGGGGGTCTCGGGCACTGGAAGGAAGTCCCACCCTTGGGGAGAGACACTGGAGCATCAGGAAGGGACTCAGGCCATTAATGGTAAGGCGAGAGAAGAGGGTCTTACTTGATTGTAGGGAAAACTGTTGCGGGAGGCAGGAGCTCGCAGCCCTTCTGGGGGGGCCTCCCGTGGGGGGCACTCCTGAGAGGGGGCCCCTCTCTCACTCCTTCCCGGATGGCTACCCGGCCGGGCCCCTGCAGGGCCATTTCAGTGTGAGCCCCATATTGGTGGGAGGAGTCACATTAAAGGCTGCTGGGGATCAGGAAAGCTTCCTCCCTAGGAGGAAAGGCCTTGCCAAGAAAAGAGCAGCAAAGGATGCGGGTCGGGAAAAAGGCAGAGGCATGTCTCGAGTTGAAGGGCGCGGCACCTTCGATTACCTGGAAGGGAAGGAGAACAGGGCAGGTGAGAGAACGCACCTGGCCAATGAGATTCTCCAAAGAGGAGCCCCCTGGAGCATCACAGACCCACAGACCCACCACCACCACACACTTCAGGCGTGGCTTTGAAAGCCCTGTCCCCCTCCCCCGCTTGTAAAACAGCACTCTTCTTCCCAGCCCCTCCCTCTCTGTCCACATTCTTCACCGACTTCTGCCCACCCCACTCACAGACAGAAATCCCCTCAGACTTGGCAACATGAGACACACACACACCCATCTTTGGGCCTGGCAGCTGCCGGCGGAACTCACAGGTTCCCCCCGCGGAAGTTGCCCTCGTCCTTCTGCCGGCTCTTGACGATGAGGACGGTGCCCACAATGATGCCCACGATGCCCACGGCCAGGCCGAGGGCACAGACCACGTTCTCCGCCGTCTCCGGGAGGGGTTCGGGCATGTTGGTATCTGGGAGAGGAAGGCGGGTTAGCAGAAGGAGGAGGAGGAGGGGCCTGATCCAGCGCCTCCCTTGGGATTCCTGCCCCTCGGATCCTGCCTCCTCCAGGGACTTCATATTCTGCTCCCCTCCTTGACCCAGAAACCCTTCCCGGAACACCTTAAAGACGAACCAAGTTGGTGGCACAAGATGAGCTTTCACGAGTTACTGCTTCCTTCTTCAGATACCTGAAGAAGTATCTGAAGATATGTTCAGAAGTAGTGACTCATGAACGCTCATACCCTGCCTTGGGATTCCTGCCCCTCGGATCCTGCCTCCTCCAGGGACTTCATATTCTGCTCCCCTCCTTGACCCAGAAACCCTTCCCGGAACACCTTAAAGACGAACCAAGTTGGTGGCACAAGATGAGCTTTCACGAGTTACTGCTTCCTTCTTCAGATACCTGAAGAAGTATCTGAAGAAGGGAGCAGTGATTCATGAAGGTTCATACCCTGTCACAAATTTTGTTAGTCTATAAGTTGCTCCTGGACTCTGGCTCTTTTCTACTGCTACAGACAGGCCTGTCTTCACCAGTGTTCCCTCTAAGCTCAGCTAGTGTGAGCCAGCTCACAGTTTTTTAGCCTCCGGCTCACACATTTTTGCCTTCGCTCAGGAAGGACGGGGCTCCAGAGCAAACTGATTTACGCAGCCGCCAAATCGCTCGGCTCACAGCTTTATTGCCAGGAGCTCACAGAGCAGAATTTTTGCTCAAGAGACTCCACAGCTTAGAGGGAGCGCGGGTCTCTTCACCCTTCCTGAAGACATTCAAGAGCGGTAGTCCCAGAACGAACCCCAACAGGACTGCTGGTTTCTTCAGGCCTGCATTTCTCACACTTTCCTAGGGTCTCAGAGTCTCTTTGGGCAGGATCAGGCCCAGGGGCACCAAGTGAGGAAGGCTAAGCCCCCCCCCCAAGAATGGAGGAGCCGCTTCACCCCTGACACGGAGGGCAATCGGGGGGGCTGGGGTGTGGGCAATGAACCCCAGTGAGGGCTGGATCTGCTCCGTTCAGTGTTGGGGGTGAGGGGGAGGGAGGGGTGAGTCCCGTGGCTCGTGGGAGGCTCCTGTGGGATGATGGGAAAAGGACCCTTCTCAAGAAGCACAGACAGGGAAGGAGTCCCTGGGGCCAGCCCCCTGTCCCCTTTACTCTTCCCCTGATAGCTGAGTATCCCAGGGTTAGGCCCTTCCGCCTTCAAGGGAAGGTGCGTATGGTGAGCAGCCAAGTTGGAACGGATAAAAGGAAGCACTTCTTCACCCAAAGGGTGATTAACACATGGAATTCACTGCCACAGGAGGCGGTGGCGGCTACAAGCATGGATGGCTTCAAGAGGGGATTGGATAAGCATCTGGAGCAGAGGTCCATCAGTGGCAATTAGCCACAAGGGATAGATAGGGACTCTCAGGCTGGGGCAAGTGATGCTCTGTAGTCTTGGTGCTTGGGGGGGGGGACAATGGGAAGGCTTCTAGTGTCCTGGCCCCACTGCTGGACTTCCCGATGGCACCTGGTATTTCTGGCCACTGTGTAACACAGAGTGTTGGACTGGAGGGGCCATTGGCCTGATCCAACATTGGCTTCTCTTATGTTCTTATATGAACTCTAGGTCTGGGGCAAGTGATGCTCTGTATTCTTGGTGATTGGGGGTGGGGGGCAACAGTGTGGGGGGCTTCTAGTGTCCTGGCCCCAATGCTGGACCTCCTGAGGGCACCTGGTCTTTCTGGCCACTGTGTGACCCAGAGTGTTGGACTGGAGGGGCCATTGGCCTGATCCAACATTGGCTTCTCTTATGTTCTTATATGAACTCTAGGTCTGGGGCAAGTGATGCTCTGTATTCTTGGTGCTTGGGGGTGGGGGGCAACAGTGGGGGGGCTTCTAGTGTCCTGGCCCCAATGCTGGACCTCCTGAGGGCACCTGGTCTTTCTGGCCACTGTGTGACCCAGAGTGTTGGACTGGATGGGCCTTTGGCCTGATCCAACATTGGCGTCTTTTATGATGTTATGTTCACCCCTGGATGAATCTGCGGGCTGAATGCGTGAATTGCCTCCCCTGGACAGTTCTGAATTGGAGGGCTTGTCACGTAACAGGAGTGTCCTTGTCTGTGGCACCTGACCCCCTTTCAGACATGTGAGTCACCAAGCGAGAGTGCAGTGGTCTATTGAGTTCCCCCCAGGGTGCGCACTGGCCCTGACTCCCCACCCACCCCCGGGGTCCCGATCCTTACTCCACTCCTTGGTGAGGGGCTGGGCCAGGCCCCAGTGCTCCACCCGGCAGTAGTAGATGTCCTCGGCGTTGGGGACGAAGATCAGGTAGGAGAACTTGCGGAAGGAGTTGTCCGTGTTGGGGTAGAAGTCGGTCTCCTCCGTGGCCTTCACCGCCTGCCCGTTCTTCACCCAGGTCAGGCTGATCACCGGGGGCGAGAACTCGTTTGCCAGGCAGATGAGCACGTTGGGTTCCCCCAGCACCACCGGCTTCTCCGGGTACACCAGCACCTTGGGGGGGACTATATGCGTGGGGGGGGGAGTCAGAGAGAGGGTGGCTGTCAGGGCTCAGAGCAAAAGCCAGGGGAGCGACAGGCAGACTCCTTTGGGGAGCCCCTATCAGGAGGCTGGCAGTGGGGGTTAGGGGGAGCCTTTGGGGCACAGGGGGTCTTGTCTGCACCCCATCCCTCCCACTGTGCCCCGCATCAGTACCGTTCTTGGCCGGGGTGTTGTTGGAGCGGCGCATGAGGATGTCCAGGTTGGAGCGGAGCACAGCAATGTTGCCCTGGGCGCCCTCGGCCTGGAAGCTGGTGAACTCCTGGAACTGGGGCAGCCGCCAGACGGTCTCCTTGCGGTCCAGGTCCACGTGGAAGATCTCGTCGCCGTCGAAGTCGAACATGAACTCGCCGGGCCCCTTCTCCGAGGTCAGGCTCCGCTGCACAAAGGCCACCTGCGATAGCACCTCCTCCGCTGGAGGGAGAGAGAGAGAGAGAGGTGCAGCATGAGCCGAAGAGATGGGACCATGCTCTGGGTCTCTCCACCATCCATACATGCAAGATCTGGGAGAAGCCAAGCAAGAAAAGGGGGCAGTTCCAGAGACTCAGTGCCAGGCCTCTCTCAGCAGCTTGAATAAACTCTCTGAATCCTTCAGATCGAAGCTTGGAGGCATTATATCCAACACCCCCCCCCCAATCCACAGATTCCAAGGAGTGAAGACTGGGGTGGGGGGATTCCTGGAGCCCAAGTCACCTGGAGGACCCCTGAAGCCTGAGTATGCTGCATTCAGTTCCGCCCTCCAGCCACTTGGGGTGCAGGGAAGGCAGACCTCCGTAAGTGGCTGTAGCTCAGACTCTGCTGGCCGGGCCTCTCGGCAAGGTTTACGTAGAGGTTGAGGGGAAACCCTGGCTGCAGCCAAGCCAGCATTGAAAGAAGGCAGGACCAGCCAGGAGAAGCTACAGTCATGGCCTGGATCAGCCCCGTAGCTAGGGAATTCTTTGGGAGGGGGCCTTGGGGGGGGCGCCAGCTAATTAAATAGAAGTACAGTGCAGGTGGTAAGTTGGAGCACTTTGGGGGCAGCCCCGGAGGGAGGGGCCCCAGAAGAAACACAAGGGGGCCAGGCCCCGTGGGGCCAATGTTAGCTACGGGCCTGGCCTGGATGCAGCCTCCCAATAAGGTCTTTATCTCCCCCAGTCTGAGGTTTCCCTCTTCCTTGAGTTCCACCCAGCTCCATGATTTTTGTCTGCGCAGCCAGATCTTGCAAAGGGGCAGCCCTGTTAACGTGTGGTAACAAAATAAAGCAAAAACTTTCATTGCCTTTCCCTTTCATTTTGCTCTCTTCCTTTCATGACCTGCCATTCGTCTATCCCTACTTTTGATTTTTATTGCCCCTCACTGTCTCTTCTGCTTGGGGGGGTTAACAGTGGGAGGGCTTCTAATGTCCTGGCCCCACTGGTGGACCTCCTGATGGCACTGGTATTTCTGGCCACTGTGTGATGCAGAGTGTTGGACTAGATGGACCTTTGGCCTGATCCAACATTGGCATCTCTTATGTTCTTATGTTCTTATTCAGTTCTGCCCTCCAGCCACTGGGGTGCAGGGAAGGCAGACCTCCATAAGTGGCTGTAGCTCAGACTCTGCTGGCCGGGCCTCTCGGCAAGGTTTACTAAGAGGTTGAGGGGAAACCCTGGTTGCAGCCAAGCCAGCATTAAAATGTTGTTGGTCTTACAGGAGGCTGAGGGTAACCCTAAGTTACTTCTCAGATCCTGCTAAGCCCATCAGCCAAGCCAGCACTGGAGCACAGCGAGACAAGCCAGGACCAGCCAAAATCAATGCCAGGATGAAGCCTCCTAACAAGGTCTATGGTTTCCTTTTCCCTTTAGTGAGGGTTAGCAGATGTCCTCCTTTTAGAGGACATGCCCTCCTTTTTGGTGCCTGTCCCCTTGTGGGCGCTTTAAAAAATTTTTTTGATGAAAACGTCCTCCTATTGGGTTGGAAGGTTAGGAATATTCCTAGTTTGTAGCAATAATCACAGCTTAAATATAGGAGTATTTAAAATGAGACTTGTCGTAGCGATCACTTCTTTGAAGTAGTCAGTCAGGAAATTTGTCCTCCTTTTGTTTTTCAAAATATGGTAACCCTACTTTAGTCACACCCAGCTCCTGCACAGCCAGGTCTTGCAAAGGGGCAGCGTTGTTAGTGTATAGTAGCAAAATAATTTTAAAATCCTTTTGTTGTCTTTTCTTATATTTCTCTAACGCTTTCCCACACTTTTCTCCTCCTTCATTTTGCTCTCTTCCTTTCATGACCTGCCATTCGTCTATCCCTACTTTTGATTTTTATTGCCCCTCACTTCTTTTCCAGTCTCAACTCCTCTTCATCTGTCCTGGGTTGGCAACTTAGAATCGTTGGCAGAAGTGTAGCAGGAAATCTTTTTTGATCCTATCAACAGAAGGGGGGAATTAATATTTCCCCGTAATCTATCCAAGTAGTAAAAGGTTGCTTCCCCTCTCTCTACATGCATGATAATAAATGTCCCTCTGGTTCAGTGGTAACAAAAGAGGAACAGAAGTTAGAGTTTATTTGTTTGTTTCTTTTTGTCCCTCATTTCTCCCCAAGGGAAGGCCCAGAGCAGGTGAATACGGTTCTCCTCTGGTTTATCCTCATAAGAACCCTGCAAGGTAGGCAAGGCTGAGAGTGGGTGAAAGGCTCACGGTCACCCAGCAAGCTTCCATGGCAGGGGGGGGATTTCAACCTGAGTGGAGATTCCAACCAGACCCTGGTCTGATACTTTAAGCACTACACAAACTTACCTTCTATTGCAGATAGCATGTTGGGTGTGCGTGTGTGTCTGGAGACAACCTGGCCTAGGATATTCCAATTCCTTTCACCCAAAGAGAGATTAACACATGGAATTCACTGCCACAGGAGTTGGCGGCAGCTACAAGCATGGACGGCTTCATGAGGGAATTAGATAAGCATATGGAGCAGAGGTCCATCAGTGGCTATTAGCCACAAGGTATAGATAGGGGCTCTGGGGCAAGTGATGCTCTGTCTTCTTGGTGCTTGGGGGGGGGGGGTCAACAGTGGAAGGGGGCTTCTATTGTCCTGGCCCCACTGGTGGACCTCCTGAGGGCCCCTGGTATTTCTGGCCACTGTGTGACCCAGAGTGTTGGACTGGAGGGGCCTTTGGCCTGATTCAACATTGGTGTCTCTTGTGTTCTTGTATGAACTCTCAGTCTGGGGCAAGGGATGCTCTGTCTCCTTGGTGCTTGGGGGGGGGGGCAAGAGTGGGAGGGCTTCTAGTGTCCTGGTCCCACTGCTGGACCTCCTGAGGGCACCTGGTATTTTTGGCCACTGTGTGACAGAGTGTTGGACTAGATGGGCCATTGGCCTGATCCAACATGGGCTTCTCTTATGCTCTTATGTTAACAGCCAACCAAGTGTTTTTTTCCCCTTCCTTAAGCTATTTGAAGACGACGAATTGGATTTATACCCCGCCCTTCACTCGGCATCTCAGAGCGGCTGACAATCTCCTTTCCCTCCCCCTCCCCACAACAGACAACCCTGTGAGGTGGGTGGGGCTGAGAGAGCTCTCTTGAGGACTACTCTTGAGAGAACACAGCTCTGAGAGAACTGTGACTGACCCAAGGTCACCCAGCTGGATGCATGTGGAGGAGGAGTGGGGAATCAAACCCGGTTCCCTAGATTAGAGTCCGCCGCTCTAACCCACTACACACCAACCTGGCTTGGATCAGGGTCATAGCGGCTCTCGGAAGCCCTACCCCGATTTTCAGCCCCGCAGGGTTGGCATGAACTAAGCCCTCCCCAAGGGCTGCGATCCCGGTAGACCAGAGTGAGCCTGCCCTGCTCTTCGCTGTTGAAAGGCACGTGATCCTGGTCCTGCCCCCCCCCAGGGAAGAGGAGGGGGAGGAAGGCGACAGGCCCTCTCCTCCGGGAAAGGATTGTGGCCACCATCACCAAAGGCGGCCGGGCAGGGATCCCCCTCAGTTCTGGGGGGCACCTCCTCCCCCGCCTGAGCTCTGAGCCAGCTCTGTAGACGGGCAGAACTTGCACCCGGGGCACAGGCAGTTCAAGGGCTTGGGTCCAGGGATCCCGGAGAGGGAGGGGGGCTGCAGCTGGCAGGGGGCCTTGGACTCCCCCTCCCCAGAGTCAGACAGGCCTTTGATTCTCTTCCCCACGCCCCTTCCAAACACGGTGCAAAAAGACAGACCTTCGGAGTTGGGGGCTACGGCCCCCCCCAAAAAGAGACTATGATTTGAGGAAAAGAAGTGCCAAGAAATTAGATGCGGAAGAACTCTGAATTCCACCTTTAGGAAGCTGTGTTTTTTTTTTTAAAAGTTTGATGCTTTTGTGATTGCCTTAAACAGTGACTGTTATCGGGTTCTGGGGAGCATCGGCTAGATTTAAACATTCAAGCGCATTGTATTCAATGTTCCCTCTAAGCTGGTGGAGTCTTGTGAGCAAAAATTCTACTTTATGAGCTACGGGCATTAAAGTTGTGAGCAAGCGATTTGGGTACTGCATCAATTAGTTTGCTCCGGAGCCATCCTTACTGAGCTAAGGCAAAAATGTGTGAGCCGGAGGCTAAAAAACTGTGACCTGGCTCACACTAACTCAGCTTAGAGGGAACACTGATTGTATTATCAGTCGATTAGACTAACATTTGATAAGCTTATGTAATGACCTTCACGACTTGGGTTTTTAGTGGTTAGCTTTCCTTTCGCCCGTAGATATTAGACTCCCCCTCCTATATTTCTTTGTTGTTTATAGAAAATCAATTTTAAAAAATCCCCTTGGGGGGGGGCAAAAAAAAAGACGGACCTTCAGACAGACAGACTTCTGGGGTTGGAATGGGGGGGCACGTGGGGGGGGAAAGGCTGAACCCCAGAGCCGGAGCCAGAATTAGTGCGGAGGAGGAAGGAGACGAGAGCCAACACCCCCTTCCCCAAGTCATTCAGAGCAGAGAATCCAGTCCCTCCCGCCCGTACTGTGCAATTTTTTTTTTGGGGGGGGGGTTCAGTGGTGGATCTCATTTGCTTCTCCGGAGGGGGGGGGATTTCGAGGAGAGGAGGAGCGAAAGTCCGAGGGAGAATTCCAGCCTGCCAATCAATGTTCCCTCTAAGCTGTGGAGTCTCGTGAGCAAAAAATCTACTTTACGAGCCACTGGCATTAAAGTTGGGAGCAGCTGATTTGGCCGCTGCATCAATCAGTTTGCTCTGGAGCCATCCTCCCGGGGCTGAGACAAAAATGTGTGAGCCGGAGGCTAAAAAACTGTGAGCTAGCTCACACTAACTCAGCTTAGAGGGAACACTGCTGCCAATACTTTCTCACGGAAGGCGATTCTCAGACCCCGACGTCTCCCCCCAGAGAGAGCCGTGAACGTCCAACCTATCTCTCCCCCCCCTCCCTTCTCCCTGCCCACTATCTATTTCCCTGTCAGGTTCCCCCCTCCCCCCCAAAAAAGGCACTTTTGCGGGGACTTTTTTGGGGCGGCTCTCTTACCTGCCACCAGGTGCCCCCCCAGGAGGGGCAGGAGCGGCAGCCACAGGTACCCGGCCAAGCCCTTCATCCCTGTTGCTCTTTCAGACGCGGGACGTGACCAGAGGGACAGGCAGCAATGGGGCAAACAGTGGGGCCAGAGAGGCGCAGGATCGAGCGCTGTCCTGGCTTGGGGCGGGGATGGGGGAGAGGCAGCCAATGAGAAAAAGGCCCGTGTGCTGACCTAGCTGTTGCCGGGTAGAAGAGCCCCAGAACTCAGCCCGAGCGGCAGATAGACGGAGGCGCCTGGAGCTGCCTTAGAGAGCCTCCATCTTCTCCTTCTGGTCTTCCAGACTGGACCCAAAGTGTCCCGGCGGGAGGAGGCGGGTGAAGGCTGCGGGTGTGTGTGTGGGGGGGACATCCGGGATGCAAGGCCCAGGCAGTGGTATCCCTAGAAGGAAAAGGATAAATCGACCCCCCTGTCATTTGAAGAAGAAGAAGAGGAGATTGGATTTACCCGAAGGAGTCTCAGAGCAGCTTCCAAACTCCTTTCCCTTCCCCTCCCCACAACAGACACCCCCTGTGAGGTTGGTGGGGCTGAGAGAGCTCTGACAGAAACGGCTCTTTTCAAGGTCAGCTCTGAGAGAACTTGCGACTGACCCAAGGTCATCCAGCAGCTGCAAGTGAAGGCGTGGGGGAATCAGACCCGGCTCTCCCAGATTAGAGTCCGCACACTTATCCGCTACACCAAACTGGCTCTCATTTGCATTTTAACATTACATTTATTTATTTCACATCTATACCCCGCCCTCCCTGCGCGCACCCCCATTCCTATTAAACGGTTTGGAATTTGGGGCCTGGGGGAGCCAAAGGTCACAAGGCGGGGGCAGCAGGGAAAGGGGGTCACCGGAACCCCCTCGGTCTGTCGGTCTGGCCTACAGCAGCAGGAGGGAAAAGGCCCAGAGCCTGACAGAAGGAAAGGGCTCATTTCCTGGCAGGCCCCCCAAACCAGAGAAAGGACCCCAGAGCAGCAGCAGGAGGAGGAGGAGCAAGAAGCGCCCTGGAAGAGAAGACGGGGAAGAGGCAGCCCTCCAGTTCCTTAAGTTCACCTCTGGGTCTTTCTCTCTCTCTCTCTTTCCCCCTGTGTGTTCAGGGACACACCGTTTGCTAGAATTTGCCTTTCCTCTGAGTGCTCCTCCTGAAGGACACTGAAGAGCCTGTGGATTCAGATTTTGCTAAATTAATGGACACGAATCCTTCAGTTTCCTCTTTAGTTGTACACAGGGCCGGTCTGTTGGGTGCTACAAGTCAAAACACTTCAGTATTTACAGAATTAATTATCTTTGTTAAGTCACAATCTGTTTAGACAATAGGAAGCCCGGGAATTTTCTCCCTGATCTAGGGATTTCCCCCCCCCCAAAAAAACCCATTTTATTAGGATGTAATAATAGATTAAACATTGTTTCAATTTGTCATACATCCTTTTCTCCTATCTCCCACCGCTTTCTCGGCTTCCCACAGTGCTCCAACCTCCAGCCCATATCTTAAATCCGCTCCATACCTCTTTATACCTTTATCACAATCTACCGGTAACATAACTTTTTACTATTATTCATATACATTCATCTTTTTTCTGTTATCATTCACCTTCAATAATTATCAAAGCAAATTAAATTGTTCTGAACATTCCTGATCTAGGGATTTGATTGGGACTAAAGTGTCAAGGTGTATTACCATTTTATGGCTTCTCTTCCCGTTCTTTGTTCTGAGAGGGAAGGAGACGCCATTCGGCCCTTTCCGTTTTACCTTTTTAGCTGCAAGGATGTAGGCATAGTAGCTCTTTGTTGTTTTCATATCCTGTGTACCTTTTCCCCATGTTAGGTTTATAATAAACTCTTATATTTTAAACACACCATGGACTCAGTCTCTTAATACTCTGCTGACTTACTTAAAAGGAATCCCAACACGGTCCCAGGGTTTTCTGCACACTAGGCGAGGCTACCTTCTGCCGCCTCCCCCCCCCCTGCGCCCACCAATTTTCAAACATAAATGCATTTTAGGAAGAATGAAAGACACAAAAAGAATGATTCATGGAGGGATCCAGAAAGGTTTTTTTCCTGTCAATAAAATGCACCACGAGAAACGGTGTAAATCTGAATCACTACGTCATTTGTTATCTGTACAGTTGCTGGGTTTAGGATAAATGTTTGCTATATCGATGACCCTTTAACACCTTGAATGTTCTCCCCCCCCCCTGTACTTTTGGAGCAAGTTCACATTTGTTTGCTGAGCCAGAAGGGGCCCGTCATTTATTGATCTGGAAACACACACACACACACCCCGCACCCCGCATGGGTTCCACACAAAACAGGCACCCCTTCGAAAGCTGTCGGTAAAAAAGACTATCTTCCCAAACAGGACCTGCCGCGGGTGCTCCTACCCGGAGACTGATGACGCTGCCTCGGAGGGAATCCTCATTGGTGCTCCTCTGCGCCTAGGCCCCGCCCACGCCCCAAGACTTAAGAGGCAAAAGCCCTCCTTTCCCTCCCGTGCGGGCATCAAAGTTTCTCCCCAAGGCTGTCAGTGTGGGGTTTTCCTTGGGGGCAGCCATGGGGCCCGGTCTGATCCTGCTGGAGACGCTGCTGCTGCTGCTCTTGGGGCCGTCCCTGGTCGTCTATGCAATAGAGACGAGACTCCGGACCCCTCCGGGTAAGCAGAGCTTTTGGTGGGTAGGAGGGAGGAATTAGGAATGTACGTGTGTGTGGGGAGGGGGGGGCTGCGAGAGACTGTTGGTTCTGATGGGGCCATCTCAGGTCCATGGTGTGGGAGGACCCCCCTGTAAGTGGAGTGGTAAAAAGGTAAAGGTTCCCTTGCTCGAAAGCCAGTCGAGTCCGACTCTAGGGTTGGGGTGCTCATCTCCGCTTCCAAGCCGAAGAGCCAGCGCTGTCCGAAGACATTTCCGTGGTCATGTGGCCAGCATGACTAAACACGGAGGCGCATGGAACGCTGTGACCTTCCCACCCAAGTAGTACCTATTTATCTACTTGCAATTTCTTGCTTTGGAACGGCTAGGTTGGCAGGCGCTGGAACTAGAGATGGGAGCTCACTCCGTCATGCGGCGCACTCGGGTCTCGAACCGCTGAACTACCGACCTTCCACAGCCTGCAGTTCAGCGTCTTAACCACTTGAGCCACCGCAGCTCCCTAAGTGGAGTGGGGGGGGGAGTAAATGGGAGGGGGGCTTGGAGCGATGGGCCCCTTCCCCTCAAAATGGGATTGAGGGAGGGCCCTCTTTCTGACCCTGGAGGGGAGGGGATTCCCAATTCCCCCTCCCTCTTGCCCTGGCAGATCCCTGATTTACTCCATTCATAACCCCCCCTCCCCAGAGGGGACCCCAACACGGCTCTGCCTGGCTCTCCTCCATGTTCTCCTCACACCGACTCAGCCCCTCAGCCCATCAGAGGTAGTTTTGTCCACTCAGAGAGGCAGTGGCTCTCCAGAGTCCCAGGCGGAGGCCTTTCCCACCAACTCCCACCTGATCTTTGGAGCTGGAGGTGCCGGGGATTGAACCCGCAGCCTTCTGTGTGGCAAGCAGGTGAAGAAGAGGAGGTTTTTATGCTCTGCTTTACTCTACCCTAGGAGCTGTGGTGGCTCAAGTGGTTAAGACGCTGAACTGCTGGCTGTGGAAGGTCGGTAGTTCAGCAGTTCGAGACCTGGGTGCCGCATGACGGAGTGAGCTCCCGTCTCTGGTTCCAGCTCCTGCCAACCTAGCCGTTCGAAAGCAAGAAATTGCAAGTAGATAAATAGGTACCACTTCAGTGGGAAGGTAACAGTGTTCCGTGCGCCTTGGTGTTTAGTCATGCCGGCCACATCACCACGGAAACGTCTTTGGACAGCGCTGGCTCTTCGGCTTGGAAACGGAGATGAGCACCGCAACCCTAGAGTCGGACTCGGGTGGCTTTCGAGCAAGGGAACCTTTACCTTTACTCTACCCTAAGGAGTCTCGAAGCAGTGGACGAAGCAGCCTTCCCTTCCCCTCCTCCCCACAACAATCCCCTTGTGAGGCAGGAGGGGCTGAGAGAGTCCGGAGAGGACTGGGACTGGCCCAAGGTCACCTGGCCATGGGAATCAAACCCGGTTCTCCGGATTAGACTCCGCTGCTCTTCACCATGACTCCACGCTGGCTCCCTGCCACTGGCCATGACCCTCCCCCTGGAACTCCCTGCCACTGGAGCCCCGAAGCCGCCAGCCTGGCCTAAGGCGAAAGGAGGCTGAGGGGGGAGACGGCGAAGGAGATCTAGATCCGATTCCTGGAAGCCTCCTCAGCCTCTACGGCAGGGCTGGCCCTAGCTTATTTTGCACCCTAGGCGAGGATCCCTTCTGGCACCCACCCACCCCTGTGTGCCCACCAATTTTCAAAAATAAATGCATTTTAGGAAGAATGAAAAACACAAATAATCAAAAAACTCCCAGAGTATGGGGCTGGGTGCAGTTTAGCGCCCCTAAGGGCCGGCCCACTCTAGGCAATCGCCTAGTTCGCCTAGTGAGTGAGCCGGCACTGCTCTCCGGCCCCTCCCAGGCGGAAACCCCCTTCGTGGGTCCTGAAGAGCCCCCCTCCCGCACTCTCCGGGCAGTCAAGCCAGGGCTGAGCATGAGAATGTTATGGAACCCCTCCCACCCAGTGACTACAATCGGGTGGGACTGGGTTCCAATCCCCCCCCCCCCCAGGCTCTCTGGGTAATATTGGGCAAGTCACTCTCTCTACAGGCCTGACCTACCTCTCAGGGGTGTCGTCTGGATACAACAGAAGAGGGAGGATGATGAAAGCCCCTTTGGGTCATCACTGGGGAGAAAAGTGGGCTCTCCGGCCCCTCCCAGGCGGAAACCCCCTTCGTGGGTCCTGAAGAGCCCCCCTCCCGCACTCTCCGGGCAGTCAAGCCAGGGCTGAGCATGAGAATGTTATGGAACCCCTCCCACCCAGTGACTACAATCGGGAGGGAGCTGGGTTCGAATCACCCCCCCCCCCAGGCTCTCTGGGTAATATTGGGCAAGTCACTCTCTCTACAGGCCTGACCTACCTCTCAGGGGTGTCGTCTGGATACAACAGAAGAGGGAGGATGATGAAAGCCCCTTTGGGTCATCACTGGGGAGAAAAGTGGGGTTTGGGGGGGGTCACTCCCCCCCCAGCAAATATAAGACAGATCTCCCCCACCCACCCAAGGCCTGCTGAAGGGGATTGTTTTAAAAAATCATAAGCATAGCAGAGGGACCATCAAGTTGCCCCCCTTTTTCCAAGCAGGGGGGCCGGGTGGGGTTCACCTCTGCAGGGGGGCAGGCTGCCTAGGAAAAGGAAGAGGGGCAGGAGAGGGAAACGGGGCTCTCGAATTGACCCCCAGAGTGATACACACACAATCTTCCCTCTGCCTTCCCTTGATGCTCTCAGTGAAAAACAATCTTCCTCCAGGAGAGCAGTTGCCGGTGCTTCTGCCCGGAGACTGATGACGCTGCCCCAGGTTGAATTCACATTGGGGCTCCTCTGTGCCGGGACCCCGCCCACTCCCCAGAACTGCAGCGGCAAAGGTCCTCCCCTCCCTCCCCAGCAGTGAACAGACAAAAGTTTCCACCTGATTCTTCCAACGCCATAATATCTTTTTTGAAATGTGCTGACGAGAACTGTACACAGTATTCCAGATGCGGGGCTTGTGTGTGTTAGTGGGTGCCTGAGATAACAGGAATGCTGAATGGGCATGTTGCGGGGCTGGTTATACCCAAAATGTGCCCAGAGGGCTTGCCACTGTGCGGGGGGTCCCTCGGAGAAAGCACTGGTGGGATTAATCCCAGGTGTGATGAGATCAATCAGGAGGGAAACAATGTAACTTTGGAAACAGTTCTCAGGATGGGACAAAAGAGACCGGAGATTTCGTCTACATGTAAAGCAGGTTTTGGGTTCCGGTGTCTGCTTGCTCCTCCGGTGATCTGGGGACCTAAAGGATTGCTAATTTAATCTAATCGGAATGAGAAGAATAGTGCTTGGTTGAACCACCTGGTTTGCAGAGGAAATGCAGAAGTTCTGTTATGAAGGAGGAAGGATGGGAAACTGAAGGAGTTGGCCCTGGGGCTAGTCCGGGTCCATTGTCTGGAGCATGCAGATATGTGTGTGGGGGGGGGGGGGGGGGGCAGCTGTTAGGGCAAGATCTCATGGGCTTTCCCAGGGTCTCGTCCTAGGTGTGATTTTCTGGCCTGCCAGTCCTGGCTTCCATCTTTGTGTCCACTTATGACAAGATGCCTGGTATGTAGACTCCTGGGGTACCCCTGTGGGGTCCACTGGTGGTTGGAAAGACCCCTCCTGTTGGATGGGGGGTCAGCACATGTGACGGAATTGAAAATCTGGGACCAGCAGAATGTTAAGATAGATCCCTGCTGAGTCACATGACAGAGAGGGGAGGGGGCCTTTTGGCTGGAGCACTCTTGGAGTGACAGAAAACTGACCTAGCGGACAGTTGGGAGAGGCAGTTGGAGAGTTGGACAGAGAAGTTAGCAGGAGCAATCGGCTAACAGAGCTCTGAGGAAACAGCCTGTTACGGGACTTATCAAGTGGCTGAGTAAAGGCTAGAGTGTCTGGAGAGAGGAGTCTGGAAGGCTGGTTAGGTGACCAGTTAGACTCAAAGGGGCCAGGCAAATAAAAGCCAAAAATTAACCACTAAAGGAGTGACTGGAGAGTGAGATCTGAGTTGTGTGGTGTGAACTAAGGAACATCTAGGTACTGAACTAAGAGTGGAAAGCGGACAACCTAAGCCAAGGCAAAGTGATTTGTTCATTCAACAAAGTATCTGAACATCCCATGTAACCATATTCCATCCCCCTGTTGTGTTTGCTGTGCAACAATAAAATAACGGTGCCTTATTGAATGTTACAAGTATTGGTGCCTGACTTTCTGGGGAGCCATACACTGTGCAGTAGTCCTCAAAGAAGACAGTCTGAAAAATACAAACCCTGAAGAGAATATTATGCATTGGGGGTGTAGAGGACTGGTCAGGAAAAATAAAATCGACTCTGACTAGGTCCTGACATGCAGACCCTCACAGAACTGACAGTATAAAGGGGGTGCGCGTCATAGCACACTTACAGGGTCTTCTGGGCTTGTAATTAATGATACTTCTGGAGGGGGGGAAAGGAAAAGCCAAATCTACATGGATCCTCATGGATCCCGTCAGGGCTTTTTTTGTAGGAAAAGCCCAGCAGGAACTCATTAGCATAATAGGCCACACCCAACAGCAGGAACTCATTAGCATATTAGGCCACACCCCCATGGCCATCCAGCCACACCCACCTTTTGCTTCTTATTCTGTTGACCTTGTTCGTTGTCAAAACCCAGGGCCTTTTTTTGTAGCAGGAACTCCTTTGCATGTTAGGCCACTCGCCCCTAATGTAGCCAATCCTAATGAGTTTCTGCTGTTGGGTGTGGCCTATTATGCTTAATGAGTTCCTGCTGGGCGTGGCTAACTCAGGAGCCAGCCCGAACTCCGTTCCTGTGCCTTCCTGCCCTGGATCCTGTACTTATTAAAAGCTGAATTCCACCAAATCCAGCGTCAAATCACATGGCAAAGCCAGGACGGTGGACCGAAACATTTAAAGAAATAGATCCAACACATTTAAAGAAATAGATCCAACAACTACGAGTTCTCTCAGCCCCACCCACCTCGCAGGGTGTCTGTTGTGGGGAGGGGGAGGGGGAGGGAAAGGAGTTCGTCAGCCGCTCTGAGACTCCAAGTGAAGGGCCATGGGGTGTAAATCCAATCTCTTCTGCTTCTGAGTTAGAAAAGGCAAGCGCTGAGAGCTGGAGGCTCCATCCGAGAGGGGTCTCCGGAGGAGAACCAACCCCCCCCCCTCCCCGTTGGGCTCTCTGACCTCCGGCGGCGGCGGCGGGGGAGGCGGGGCTGGCCCTCGGGGAGGGAGAGGCGGCCAGGCTCCGGAGCCCCCTGCGGGACGGGGGGGGGGTGAGGCGGAGAGAGGGAGCCGCTCACCAGACCTCCCCCCCGTGTCTGTCCCCCGCAGCCGCCCACTTCCTGGCCCAGGAGAAGGCCGAGTGCGGCTACGCCGACGGGGCTCGCGGGGAGGTCCGCTTCCTGTACAGGTACATCTACGACCGGCAGGAGATCGCCCGCTTCGACAGCCGCACCGGGTGGTACGAGGCCCTCACCGAGCTGGGCCAGCCCGACGCCCGCTACTGGAACAGCCAGAAGGAGGTGCTGGACTACAATCGGGGCGTGGTGGACGCCCTCTGCCGCCCCAACTACGGGGTGATGGAGACGGGGCAGGTGGTCGGCAGGGAAGGTGAGCGGGGCGGGGCGAAGGGGAAGGGGCGGGGCTCCGGGCACCGGCGGGAGGGGGCGCCCCTCCCCGCCCCTCCTCCCTCTGGGGCTCCCGGCCAGCGGGGGAAGAGGAGGAGGAGGAGGAGGAAGGCCAGGCAGGAAGCCCCGCGCGGGGGGGGGCGGGGCGTCGTCTCTCGGGCAGCCCTCCTCCTTCCCTCCACCCGAGGCTGGGGGGTGTGGAGCGGGAGCGGCTCCATCTTCATTCGCAAGGCCGGCTCCCGTTGAGGCGGAGGGCGGCCCTTCCGCCTGCCTCTGCTCCCCTGCCCGGACGTGGGCGAAGGCGCCTCCCTTGCCCTGGAGATGCCTGGTGGGGGTGGGAGCCGCTTCCCTGCTTGCCTCTCTGCCATGGCCGGGCGCAGGGCGCGTGTACCGTGCAGGCAGGACAAAGGACCGACGCAGGAAGTTGGACTCCCCTCCCCCCCCTCTGGATCTCCCCCCCATTCTTAAGTGGGGGGGGGGGAAGCACAAGGGCGCCCGGAACTGCCTGCCTGCGCTTTTAAGTCTACCTGCACTGGTCGCCCCGGGGGAGGCTGGAAAATTTCGCCGGGGACCCAACCCCCCCCCCCCAAGATAACGCCTATTATTCAGAATAAGAGAAACGCTCTGTCAGACCTGCCTCTGATCCCTCAAAAAGAGGCCGCCTTTCATGTGAGCTCCCCCCAGCCCCAAGTCTTCCCCAAAATTTCCTAGTTTCCCCACTGGAAATATGTGCACGCTTTTCCACGCTAGATGTTTGGAGTGTGAAAAACCTGGCCTGAAGAGTCCTTTTGAATGAATGTTTCTTTGCGGTCAAAGACCATTTCTCATAACCGTAGGAGTCATTTTACCCATTCCAAAAGAAAATACCTTGATGGAGTCTCTTTTCAGTGTTGCCCTAACTTTTGGTCAAACTTTCCATCAGAAAATTTGAAAAAAGCCCCCCCCACACACACACACACCTTTTTCTGGATTTTTCAGGGTTTCCCCCTATTGGAGTTTCGTGTTTAATTTCTTAAAGTTAATCAGCAGAGTTAGCAGAATATAAATGAGTCTGAGTCCATGGTAGTTTAAAATATAAAAGTTTACTACAACCTAGCATGGGTAAGGGTATACGGGATGAAAAATAACAAAGAGCTTTATTTCTACATCCTCACTGCTAGACAGACTAACAAAGAGAGTACCTTACATGGCAGAGGTCTAATGGAGACTTGTTAAGTCATTCTAAGACTAATGGAGACTGGAGCTTCTTCTTGCTCTCGGACAAAGGGTCATAAAATGCTAAAAGTAGCCACTTCATTCCCCAATCAGAACAACAAACTAGGTCTGAATCTGGCGGGCTTCCTAGCTCTCTAAACAGATACGATACAAGCAAACATGTGATTCAGTACACAGTATTAACCCAGTAAATACTAAATAGAAGTGTTCTAACTTGTAACATCCCCAGGGGCTCACCTGTCGCTAGGCACCAATGCTCCCTCTAAGCTGTGGAGTCTTGTGAGCAAAAATTCTACTGTGTGAGCTATGGGAACTAAAGTTGTGAGCGAGCGATTTGGCTACTGCATCAATTAGTTTGCTCTGGAGCCCTCCTTCCTGAGCTAAGGCAAAAATGTGTGAGGCTGAGGCTAAAAAACTGTGAGCTGGCTCACACTTACTCACCTTAGAGGGAATGTTGCTAGGGACATGGACTGAACAGGTGAAAATACGGTCCCGTCACTTCATGGCCCCATCATGGTGCAGAAACTGGGATCCTGAGCCTAAAGGGACCGCCTTTCCCCACATGTTCCCCAGAGAGCACTGAGGTCGGGGACTCAAAACCGCCCGACTGCCCCTGGCCCAAAGGATGCCAGACTGGCCATCACCAGAGCCTAGGGCCTTCTCAGTGGCGGCCCCGTACTGGCGGAATGAGCTCCTGGAGGACATCAGAGGACATCAGGGCCCTGTCGGACCTTCTACAGTTCCGCAGGGCCTATAAAATGGAGCTCTTCCACCAGGCCTTCGATTAGGGGGCGCAGTCAAAGAGCCAGGAATTCACCTCCGGACCCCTGCACAGAGAGACACACACAAACACACCTCTCTCAGCTTCCTATACTTCCTGCCCTGGAGGGTGGGAGAGGCCACGAGATTGTGCCTTTAGAAATATGTCAGCTGCAGACATGGGAAAGTCCTCCTCTTCTCCATCTGTCTCTGCTTCTCTGGTTCTCCTCCATCTCTGAAATCCCCCCCTCTCTTTTCACCACACTTCTAGTTGTGCCCACGGTGACGATCTCCCCCACCAAGGGGGACCCCCTGGCCCACCACACCCTCCTGATCTGCACCGCGGCCGGCTACTATCCCCAGGGGGTGAAGATCACGTGGCTAAAGAACGGGCAGGAGCAGACGGCGGGGGTGGGCTACGCGGAGGAGCTCCAGAACGCGGACTGGACCTACCAGTACCAGGCGATGCTGGAGACGGTGCCCCAGCGGGGAGACCTGTACGCCTGCCAGGTGGAACACAGCAGCCGCAAGGAACCCATCACCGTGAAGTGGGGTGAGAGACTCCGGAGGGCCTTGCCCTCTCCCCCGTGGACACACGATTCCATAAAGTGGTCGGGAGTTCCAAGGGCTTGCATCAACTGACCAGTTGACGGTGCAGTGAGTCCCCCACACTTGTCAAGGACTCCCCTTTTCCGTGAGGGAGCTGAAGCCCCTCTCTAGGGTGGGATGCAGCCCTTGCCAGGGCGCAGCACAGGGATCTCCAATGTGGTTGGAATTCACTGCTGCAGGAGGTGGTGGTGGTGGTGGTGGTGGTGGTGGTGGTGGCTACAAGCGTGGACGGCTTCAAGAGGGGACTAGATGAATATCTGGGGCAGAGGTCCATCAGTGGCTGCTTGCCACAAGGCCCAGAGGGAACATTCTGTCTGGGGCAAGGGAGGCTCTGCCTTCTTGGTGCTTGGGGGGGGGCAACAGTGGGAGGGCTTCTAGTGTCCTCTTGGCCCCACTGCTGGACATCCTGAGGGCATCTGGTGTTTCTGGCCACTGTGTGGCAGAGTGTTGGACTGGAGGGGCCATTGGCCTGATCCAACGCTGGCTTCTCTTATGCTCTCTTGTCCTCTAAGCCCCTCTCTAGTGTGGGATGAAGCCCTTGCTAATGTTCCCATTGTCTGCCAAGTGTTCTTAGAAAGCGGGTGGGGCTGTGCACACCAAAGTCACATTATTTTGATGGCAGCTGCCCCCCTCACAGGGTTGGTTTCATCCCTGCTCACTCTTCCCCTACCCCCCTTTTTAAAAAGAACCCGATTCTCCCTTCAAAATCTGTGGGCCCAAAGGCCAAGTCTGGCCCCGATCCATCTCCTCACGCGAGGCTCCTTCTCTCCCCACAGAGCCACAGACGTCGGACTCCGCCAGGAGCAAAGTGTGGACGGGGGCCGTGGGGGCCGTTCGGTGTGGGGGGGGGTGGGACACACACTCCCCCTCCTGTTCCAGAATCTGTCCCTAATCAGATCGACTGGACAGGGAGAAATGAGGGGGCCCAATGTCAAAATGTCCTTGGGGGGCTCTTCTCACAGCCAGTTTGGGGGGCTGCCATTTCCAAGCCGACAAGATGACCCCCAACTGTCTAGGGATACAGTCAAATGTTTTACTTTCTTGAGCCGTTTAGACCGGACTCAGAATGCTGGAAAAAACACCGAGGAGGGCGACTGAGAGGATGAAGGGGTCGGAGCCCCTTCCCCATGCGGAACGGCCAAAGGGTCTGGGAGTTTTCAGTTCAGAAAAGAGACAACTGGGGGGGGGGGTGGCCCGCATGGTAGAGGCCTGTAAAATGATGCCTGGGGTGGAGGAAATGGATCAGGAGAGAGTTTTCTCCCTCTTCCACAACATCAAAATTCTGGGGAACCCAGTGAAGCGGTTGGGAAATGGGCCCAGGGCAGACCCAAGTAAATCCTTCCTTACTGAAGGAGTAGTGAAATTGCAGAATTCTCTGCCAGCGGATGTAGTGTTGTCGGTGAGCACAGATGGCCTTTTAAAAGAGGGTGAGAGAGCTTCATGGAGGTTTGGTCCATCAATCAATCGAACTGGGGGCACGCAGGAAGCCCCCAGTTCAATTCCTGGCAATGCGATCAGTTGAGATACCTGGACAGTTGGTGATGGAGAAGGCCCCCCTGTGCCTGAGGACCCCGGAGAGAGCACTGCTGATGGTCAGAGGAGACCTGACTGGCCTGGAGAGGAGTCCAGCTGCGGCCGCCTCTGATTCCATGTTCAGGCTGAGGGACTGAGGAGACCCCTCCTCACCCTTGTTCCCAAGAGGAAGGGCATGCAAGGGGGTCCCTGAGACAAGAACCTCACAAGAGCCCTGCTGGATCAGGCCAGTGAGGGTCCCTCCAGTCCAGCCTCTTGTCTCACACAGGGGCCAGCCAGTTCCTCTGCTGTGCTGACAGCAGGGCTTGGAGGCCGAGGCCTCCCCCTGAGGCTGCCTCCTGGCTCTGGGATCCAGAGGCTTAGTGCCTCTGAGGGTGGAGGTTCCCCATCGTCACCAGGGCCAGCAGCCACTGCCTGACTATCCTCCTTGAATCCATCCAGTCCCCCTTTAAAGCTGTCTATTCCCGTGGCCGTAACTACGCCCTCTGGCAGTGAATGCCACATTTTAATCACTCTCTGTCCAAGTCCGTATTTTCGCTTGTCCCTCCTGACCTCAGGAGCGGTGGAGGGCTCCCGGTTCATCTGACATCTGTGGTTCCCCTTTTCTCACTTTAGTCTCGCAACAACGCCCCTATGAGGCGGGCGGGGCTGAGAGAGAGTCACTCGCCCGCCCCCGGGGGCACCCAGGGAGCAAAGAGGAGAGAACCAGGGAGGCCTTTTGGCCACAGGGTGTCAGGAGGGGGGCCTTTGGACCCTCGGCAGGAAGCAAACCTGCTGCCCCCCCCCACTCCCAGTCTGGGAAGGATTTTCTCCCCCCAGGTGTTCCTGGGCCCCAACTGCAGTCCTCTGGCTGCCCGCAGGTGGGCCGTTCCTCCACTCTGGGGGGAGGCTTCCCTGGCACCCACCAGAGGCCCCTCCCCCCGTGACCAGAGCCCCTCCCCCTGGCCTACTTCACAACACCTCCCGCTCTGGGGAAGGGGGTCCCTGAAAAGGTGAGGGGGGCCCTCCTCCGAGACCTTCCGTAGGGGCCGCAGGGCCTGTTTGCTTGCCAGGGCCTTGGAGGGGATGTGAACAGCTGGCACCTTGGGGGGTGGGCAGATTGGAGGGACGTTATTTGGATTATTAAGCTGTGATATTTTCGTCATTTCTTCCTGGAGGGATAAAGGTAAAGGCTCCCTTGCGTGAAAGCCAGTCGAATCTGACTCTAGGGTTGCGGCCCTCATCTCCGTTTCAAAGCTGAAGAGCCAGCGCTGTCTGAAGACATTTCCGTAGTCATGGTCATGTGGCCGGCATGACTAAATGGCAGGGTGCACGGAATGCTGTTACTTTCCCACTGAAGTGGTACCTATTTATCTACTTGCAATTTCTGGCTTTCGAACGGCTAGGTTGGCACGAGAGACGGGAGCTCACTCCGTCATGTGGCACACTCGGGTCTTGAACGGCTGAACTATCGACCTTCCACAGCCTGCAGTTCAGTGTCTCAACCACTTGAGCCACCGCAGCTCCTAAGGCAGGGAGAGGTGAATTAATAAATAAAGCAAATCTCTCTCTCTCTCTTTTGCAGGAACTCCCCTTCCGCCCCCCACAGGTAAGGGTCTCTCTGCTTCTTTGCCGCCCGCCTCCCCAACCCAGACTCCAGGCAGACGAAAAAATCAGGAACCCCCCCCGCTCAAAAGGGGCCACAAGACACCAAGAGGGCTCTGAGAGTCTGAAAACCTTTCCTGCGAGTTGAATCTGCCCCCCCCACAGGCATTACCTGCAGCGACCTGCAAGGGGGGTGGGGTGGGTGGGGACAGGATGGATATCCCTGGATTTGTGGGCGGAGCTCGTGAGGCCCAGGTGAGCTCCCCGGTCTCTGCCCCCCTCCCTGGGCATGGACCTTTCCCCTTCTGACGACACTCCCCCCCCTCTTTCCCCAACAGCGCTCATCGGTTAACCCTTCCCGCCCCAGGACCCTCCCTGTGGAGAAGCACTTCCTGTCACCAAGGGCCCCTTGCCAGGGCCTGAAGATGGACTGAGGATGGATGGACATTTTGCGCCCAGCACGGCTCCCCCCTTACCCTGCAGCTGGCTTCTTCTGTCTTTCCCTTCTGGTGTTTTGGGAGAGGGGACTCATTCTGCTATGTCCGGAGGAGGACGGGATTCCCTTCCTCCAGAACTGCACCCCCAAAGGTTGCCATGTTCAGGTTGGGAGATTCCTGGATACATCAGGGTGGAACCTGAGGAAGGGGAGGGACCACAGTGGAGTAGGATGCCTTGGACCCCCCCTCCCAAAGTGGCCGTTTCCTCCTTCGGGGAAACGGACCTCTGTTGTCTGGCGGTCTCCAGGCACCCCCTGGAGGTTGGCAACTGTCATCAGCTACAGAAATGGAGGTGACATGCTTTGCCCCACTTTGCAGGAACAGGCAGGGAGACTGAGTGGCCACCGTCAGCCCTTCTCCTCCGGCAAGGGGGTCTCTGGTGTTCGGAGTCGGAATTTGCTGCTCAAACCGGCTTTTGATCTTGTTGCCTGGCTGGTCCTGTAAGATTCCCGCCCTCCTCTCTCTCTGGACTCAGCTGGAAGCTCCAGGTGCAGTCGGGGAGGGGGGGCGTCCGTGAGCAGGGGCTGAGAACGGGTGTTGCAACCAGACCACTGCTTATAAATCTGTACTTTCCAGAATTCATATTGCTCACTAACCTGTCTTCGCTGTGGCTGGAGGAACCGTCTAATAAAAATAGAATGAACCCTTCTTTGGAGATGCGTCTGTGACTCTGAGCTAAGCGGGCTTTGCCTTGGAAACAGGCAGGGAGAGGAGAGGGTTTGGGGGCCTCCTCTGTGGGGAAGGAGGTTCGTTCTGTGGGCAAGGGGAGCGTGTCCTGAAGAGGGGAGCGACTCCTGACTACAGTGACCAGCTGGTACAATACGGGGACTCCTGCAGGTCTGTTTGATGAGAGATATTTTGAAAGGAGGAGGGATAAAATACAACAGAGGTTCCCAAAATGAAATTTCTGGCCTGAGCTGGTCAGTGGGTGGAGAAGCAGACATGATAAAAAAAAACTCCTTGCAGCAAGGAAGAGGGTCTCTTTTGTGCTGGGTCCATCAGAGCAGTCAGAGTTCTTAACTGGGGTCTGGGGAATTCGGGCATTGATCATGCAGTGGCCTGAAGAGCTGGCGTGATCATCAAGGTAAAGGTAACTCAGTAGAGATCTGTAACTTCCTAACCTATGGAGGCTGTTCTACATTTTAACATCTGTTAGGGAATGAATAGAGAGCGGGACAGAGGAATTGCGCTTCACACGTTTCTTTGGAATCCCTTGCTCAGCCTGGTGATGTGCTAAAAGTATGCTTGTGAACATTTCCTTTTTGTGTGAGTGTGATCATTCTCTTTTTCTTAATAAATATTTTATAACTTTTGATGCTGGTAGTGGTTCTCTGTAGCACATAGACCTCCACCCTCTTGGACATGCTGTTTTGAAAGGAGAGCCAGGGGGCGGGCAGGCAGTTGGCAAGTGGCTATTCATCCAGGGGCGTGCAAGGCAGTAATCTGTCCCTGTGGTGACCAGACGCTGGGCAGCGGGAGACACAGAGGCAGGGCCTCGGAACTGGGAAGGGAACCTGCGTTGTACCCATTTCTTTTGAATCCCTTGCTCAGTCTGGCTCTGTGCTAAAAGTATGCTTGTGAACATTTTTTTGCGTGAACATTTCTTTTTGTGTGAACATTTCTTTTAAAAAAATAAATATTTTATCACTGTTGTGGGGGGAGGAAGGGAAGGTGATTGTAAGTTGCTCCAAGACTCCTTCGGGTGCTGAAAAGCGGGGTATAAAACGGACTCTTCTTCTTCATTTGGGACCCTGAGGGGAACAGGCGAGGTGAGAAAGTTCTCTGGGGGTCTCTTCTGTTGCTGTCTGAATACACAAGCTTCGGAGCAATGCAACTCCCCTCATCAGCAGAAGGGGCAGGAGGAGATCAGTCAGTCCGGGAGACCTTTCAACACTAGGACTGGGACTCGCAGAGCCCCATTTTCCGTGGCACTTTAAGGCTCTGCTGTCCTCTGCTTTGGAGGAAATCCCCTCTGAGCGGGTCCGTGTGTGGAGAACGGCTGCCCCCTGGTGGGCTGAGGAAGGAAGGCAGTTGCACAGTGTGGTTCTCTCTCAGGAGTCTACGGCTGCAGGCCAAGGGCTGCCTCTGTGTGCACATCAGTAGAACACAGCAGGAGTCCAGGAACACCTTAAAGAGTAGCAGAATTTGTGGCAGGGGAGGAGCTCTTTGGAGTCATGGCTCACTTCTTCAGAGACAGATCCAGTTCGAATGTGAAACAAAGTTTGAGTCCGGTGGCACCTTTAAGACCAATAAAGTTTTATTCAAGGTGTAAGCTTTTATGTGCGCGCGCACACGCTTCAGATACAAATGTGAGTCCATCTGCCCTTATATCTTGGAGAGTGGAGCGATTTCAGATGCCAAAAAAACCCAGCAGGTGAATGAGAGTAGCAGGTGTGACTGGATGAGGTGTGATATGTAGAGGGGTAGTCAGTGTGGTAGTCAGTCATGTTATCGGGTAGTCAGTCATGTTATCGATGCAATGAACATGAGATTAAGCAAACTCCGGAGCATGACAGAAGACAGGAAGGCCTGGCGTGATGTGGTCCGTGGGGTTGCGAAGAGTCGGACTTCACTGTGCGACTGAACAACAACAACAAAAAGTCAGTGTGGAGAAATCAGCGTTGGTAATGAGACAGGAAACCAAGGTCTCAATTCAGTCCAGGAGGGTGCATTGTCTTGAGCTTTATCCTCAGTTGCAATTCAGCAGTCTCTCTTTCTAATCTCCCTTTTAAATTCCTTGGTAAGAGAACCGTAAGTCAGTAGTGACTGAATGTTCCTCCACTGGTTTTTGAATGTTGTGGTTTCCAATGTCACTTCCCTTTCCAAGGTATGAAGACAGAAGGACTCCCATTCTAGCTGTATCTGAAGAAGTGAGCAGTGGCTCCCGAAAGTTCCTCCCCTGCCACATATTGTGTTAGTCTATAAGGTTCTCCTGGACTCTTCCTCTTTTCTGCTGTGGCAGACAGACTAAGACGGTGACCCATGTTGATCTGTGTGTGTGTGTGTGTGTGTGTGCGTGTGCGTGTGTGAGAGAGAGAGAGAGAGAGAGAGCGCGCCTCACTGCCCGGTCCTTTCACACCCAGAGTCTCTGTTAGTGCCTGAGGTGAAGCGATGTCATGCATCTAGCCCCTCTGAGGCACAGTCTGGAATCCCTTGCAGGCCAGAGCTGTGCCTCCCACAAGGCTTGGCTCAAAGGAAGGGAGAGGCCGGAGGCCCGGCGGTGCCAGAACCTCATTGTTCTCTTCCAACAGGCACTTGAGAAGCAAAGCGGGCTGGCTCCAGAGCTCAGCAGGCAAAAAAGTTCCCTCCATCTGCCTTTCCTTCAGAGGGATGTGGTTTTTTTGACTGGCTTTCTGGATCCTGGTTTGGCCCTCTGGGCCGGAAGAGTTATAGAAGCACACAGAGTGGGAAGGG